AGAGAGAGAGAGAGAGAGAGAGAGACGGAGACAGACATAGAGAGAGAGCGAGAGAATGAGAGAGAGAGAGACAGACAGACACACACAGAGGCAGAGATAAAAACACACAGTGCGCTTACCTCTGCACATGGAGCCGGTGCAGTTCTGAGTGCTGAAGTCCTCGCCCCGACAGAACTTGCCTCCGTTGGCCGGAGAAGGGTTGGTGCATTTACGCTGCCTGTGCTGCCGGCAGTCCGGCGAACAGGAGGACCAGTCTGCCCACGATGTCCAGCCTCCGTTAACTGCAGAGAGAGAAAGAAGCCACGAGATGAGAAGGCGATGTAGAAAAGGTTGGAGGGGCGAGGATGAGGTAGGAATGGGGGCATGGAGGGAGCGGGCAGGAGGCCAGGGGCGAGGAAGAGGAGGACCGAAAGGGAAGGAGAAGTGAGGGAAGATGGCAGAAAGGGGAGGAGGGAGCTGAGGACTGAAAAGTGAGGATGGAGGTATGGGCGGTGAGGAGGAAAGAAAGGCAGAAGAGGAAGAGGAGAAAGGCGAGAGAGGAGCAAGGATGGTACGAAGAGTGATGGTCAGAGACGTGGAGGTGGGAAGGGGGGGAAAGAGTGAGGAAGAGGAGGAGGAGGAGGAGGATGGGGTAGGTGGAGGACCAGGCTGCCCATGACGTACAGCCTCCGTTAACTGCAGAGAGAGAGAAAGAAGCCAAGAGATGAGGATGAGAACGAGGAGGAGGAAGAGGATGACGGGGAGGCGGTGAGGTGGATGAATAGAATGAGGATGAGGATGAGAATGAGGATGGGGATCGGGATGAGGATGGGGATGCATAGAGTATTCACGCACCGAATTTTCGGACTAAAATTCACTATTGAATCATGCAACAACAAATGTTTGCACACAACAATCTCATGGTAATCCACTAATACATTCTAACGGAGGACTTCCCTATAAAGTAGATGCGTCATATTAATAGCAACGTCGAAGAGAAATAGACACACGACGAGAAAGAGTGTAAAAAACATCACAAAACACACTCACTCACATGCTCCCGTCAGGCTTTCAAGAGCATTAATAGTTTGATGTGAATGCCAACAGATGGCGCTACAAGACCATGCACGAACCGCATGCTAACTTATGCGTGATATGTAGTCATACAGATGTAAGAGAGAGAGAGAGATAGATGTAAAGAGGAGAAGGGAGAACGCGAGAGAAACGCGACGGGTGGAGAAAAAACAAGACAGACGATGCAGTGAATGAACGTCAGACACTCAATCAACCATCTTGCAACCCTAACCCTACTTCCAACATTACTCGCCCCCTACGGAGAACCTCTTAATGCCAATCTACCCCCACAATCCGCCGAAAAAACACACGAGCCATTTATTATGCAGCTGCGTTGAGACGTGAACAGCGTTAGCATTAAGACATCACATATATGCTACATGTGTTAGTTGTTGTTGATGATAACTTGGTCACGCGTGAAAGTGTTTCGCCTGCAGGCAGCGATCTGAGAATTACTGAGATTTATCCAAGCGTACAAACACTACACGCTGCTGCTACTAGTGTTGCTGCTGCTGTTGCTACTGCTGCTGCGGCTGCTACTGCTGCTGCTGTTATTGTTGTTGTTGTTGCTGTTGTTGCTGCTGCTGCTGCTGCTACTACTACTGCTGCTGCTACTGCTGCTGCTACTGCCGCTGCTGCTGCTGCTACTGCTGCTGCTACTACTACTGCTGCTG